GACATTCACATTTAATTTCTGATTTTGATCTTACAAGACTCATATTGGTTACTTTTGATTGCAATGAGCATAGTAACAATGTATTCCAATAATTCTTTGGAATTGTTTTAGCTATACACGTCTCGCAACTTTTCTTGCAACTTTTGCTTATTTTTCTTGCAACCTTTTGCAACTTTTTCTATTTTCAAAGTAGCCCTCAGCTGACTCCTACACATCTCGGCGGTACACTACACACCACGCGGTACATTTTTTGCCTTCACTTTCAAAAGTGAAGGGGCGGGCGAATGGTAATTCAAAAGCAAACACACAGACTCAAACATAATTTAACTTGGTAATCCGGTATTAAATTGCGTTCCTCGCGTGAATTTTACTAATTTTGGGTTGCTGATCACGAAAATCTTATTTTTTTTATTTGACGAATATTTAGGAAATTTTTGGAATGTATTTTCAACTACGCCTGGGGTAACATCAAAGAAGCCGCTCCCTCGTCGTCACTCCTTCGGTTCGCCGGCCGGCAAATATCTGGCGTCGCCAGATATCTGGTGGTTGGACAGAGAACCCTTCGATATCGAGAGGATTGCTCAGTTTCCACGTGAAATTGACAGGATGCCGGCCATCCTCTCGATATCCTACAGTTTGTCGATCAGCGAACTGTACGTCTAAATGGGGCTTTATGAAAGGGTTCTATGAACTCAGACCCTCAATTCCCACAAAGTCAAAGATTTGTACTTGGAATGTTGATAAAGTGTTTGAGATGTTGGAAATTTGGTGGCCATTACCTGCCCTTAGTCTGAAAGACGTGACCTTAAAAGTCTGTATATATGCTTCTTGCACTTCTCACAGGCCAACGTTGCATAAAACATTGCATGCTTTAGACATTAACCATATGCAATTAAAAGAAAAAAGCTGTACTTTCTTCATCTCAGATTTGTTGAAATATTCACGCAGAGGGTCACATCAAGCCCCAATTGAGCTGCTGGCCTTTTCTCCTAAACAGGAGTTATGCATAGTGAACCACATTCATGCATATCTTGACCGCACTTCTACGATAAGAGGTGCAGAGAGTAAACTTTTCATAAGCTTGCAAAAATCACATAAACGTGTGAGTAAGGATACAATTGCACGTTGGATAAAAACAGTACTAGAAATGGCAGGCATTGATCCTACAGTATACAGTGCCCATAGTACTCGTGCAGCCAGCACAAGCCACGCCTCTGGCATTGGTGTGCCCACCACTGCTATCATGGAAGCAGCTGGTTGGTCAAGAGAAAGTACATTTACCAAATTTTATAAGAAGATTGCAAATGCCAATTTTGGTCAGTCAATTATTGAGAACTATTTCAAAGCATCATAGCTGTACACTTTTATTCACTTACTATATATATATAGTATATATATATATATATATATATATATATATAATATATATATAATAAAAAATAAAAATAAAATTAAAAAAGTTTGTGTGCAGTGTCATTTGAAAGGATATTTTACCTTTTTTCACTTTTAGTTAGTCCTGAATAAAGTAGTGTTTTCTTTCTTTAGAAACATTTTCTCTTGGTTTGGCCAGCGTGTCTCGCTCAGGCCTAATACATCATGTATGTCGAGGTGGTTACTAAGTTGTCTTCTTTTCTGTTGTGATTTTAGCCAATTTAGTTGTCTGAAGCATAGTTCTCACGTTCCAAAAGCCTCTCATAAGATGTTTATTTGTTTTCAGAAGATCCTGGAGCTGAACACACAATATGTCTATCTGAACTGCTCCCCTCTTCCAACACGTTGGCAAGGTTACGTCTTCTGTTTTCCGTTTCAGTAACGTTTATGGTTTTATGAGATGGGTAGTTAGCCCATCGTCAATCTCCAGAGGGAAATCGTCATAAATTCCCGTAGCTGGGAGGACACAACGCTCGGGCTTGTACGTGGTGGCCATTTTGGATAATCCTCATCTGCCCTTTGCTGTTGGAGAAATAAATCTCTCATTCACTGATAGTAACCAGACATCCTCACTATTAGACTCATAGCCGAGGGTAAGAGGTTATTTATGTGTGCCAAGATTCGCCCAAATAACCACTTCCCCGGACATGCTGAGGCATTTAATTACAAGGGTACATGTATTAGAACCACCAAAACTACCAAAGTTTAGCGGCCATTTTTTCGCCAATTTTACCTCTGACATCACACTACTTTTTCAATTGCAATTACCTCTACTATTCTATATAAGATATATAGGTATTTTATCGTAAGAATTAAAAAGCAAGGCAAATAAGCAGGCTTTTAAAACTTAATCTACCAGTAGGCCTAACTCCTACTCAAAAATAGACGAGCGCCTGCCAGCGTGTCCTGACATTATATTAAACTCCTATTTTTAGTTTTAGACTATTCAAATTTAAATAATAATAATAATAATAATAAATAGCTTTTGTATAGCGCATATCTCCGCTCAAAAGCAGGCTCTCGCGCTTTACACTGTTTTATTTTGTGTACATCTATGGTCCTGACTCATCTGAGTATCAACTGGACCCATATAGGTAATATTTTCAGAGAGAATAAAATACATTTTAACAGGATGCCTCTCGTGACATAGTAAATTATTATTACCTGGATGCTATACCAGTTTATCTTGACTGGGTGACATCTAAGAGGGACATCCTTTCTCAACTTTCTGTCTCCAAGATACATGGCACAGCCTACATGCTCATATGACCTTGCGCAGTTGCGAGCGCCATAAAACCCTATACTACTACTACTACAGCCTACTAATATCTAGGCCAGCAGGTAGCCTATAGGGAAAACATTCCGGCAATTCCGGTGCCACTCTTTATTTTTACTTAAGCGGACATAGAGCGCTATATTATTATAATATATTCCTGTCTACCGCGAGCGAATCTGCCGCCATAATTCTGCCCATTCGCCATGTTTGGCACCATTTCCGGAATCCCCGATCCACTTATGAAAGCAATCTACACCAATCAACCAAATTCTAGGCCAACAGTGGAAATAATCATGCTACCAAAATAAAAGTATCGATATCTTGACGAATCCGAATCTAGTGACAATAAAGGGAAGGGAATACAAACGAGAAGATGCTAGTGCTAGTCAAGATACTCAAAAAAATTGACAGAATGACAAAGAATTTTAACTTGGAATAATTTGATTTAATAAACATTTCAGAACTTTTATTTATAACATCCCTGCTAACACGCTAACACCTTATAAAACGACAAAGATAGTTAGGCTATGCAGACTTAATAGACTCTTTGCAATGAAAACGAGTAATGAACAAATAAACATCTACTCGATTACACGCACTGGCTTAATTGTTTACAAATGGCGGACAGCAGCTTGTAAAAGTGACATGTGTGCATAGTTTTGATAAAATTTATACTTTGTTCTTGCAAAATACAATAGTTGTAGTGTTGAAAATGTTGTCAAATCGATGGTTTGGCAGCTTTAGAACGTTTTCACTGCAGCTTACGCCCTCGCGCATTCTGCATTTTTCTGATTTCATCGATGTGTTTGCTTTTTTGGGAGCTTATTATTTTGTTAAAAAGTGCTTGAAAACAGCAGCGCTCTTGACTGATACAGTGAATGCCCATGTCTTAAGCAGATTGAGACCTTACAGCAATGAATGGTGGATGGAAAGTTTTGGACCGTGGGCAGGTACCTACACATTGCATTATACCTACGCAAGGTGCAATTGTTTTTCCCAGCATGAACCATAGATCTATATCTAGATCTAGATATCTAGATCTAGAGATCTAGAGACAGTGTAGCCTTCTAATGAGTACGGTAACTGGTGATCTTGTAGTTCCTTTAGTTAAAGTCCACTATCCATTTGTTTACATCCAGAGATGAAATCCGGAAGTCTTGATGACCAAATCGGCAACACAAAGAACAGAGATATACAACTTAACTCTGCAAAATATTAAATTTTTATGACCTAAGATTCGGGGGCATGCCCCCTGATCGCCCCCCTCCACCCCTGAACCACC